CATTCGCCAGAATCTGTGCCTATACTGCGGATTATCTGGACACATGAGAGCTTCCTGTCCCACTCGTCCACCTCGCAATCTTTCTCCGGCGAGTCCGAATCTCAGTTCTTCCACTGCTTTAGAGATTCCAGTCATCTTTAAGATTAATGGGCAGGTCACTGAGGCTATGGCTTTCATTGACTCAGGGGCTGCAGGAAATTTCATTGACGCTAGTTTTGCTAAGACTCATAATATTCCTCTTGTTCCCTGTGTATCTCATTTGGCAGTGGCAGCGCTAGATGGCCGACCGCTGGGCACTGGCCAAATTCAATTCACTACCAAGGACCTTCAATTATGCACTGGAGCTCTTCACACCGAACTTATCCGCCTCTTCGTATTTCAATCTCCAAGAACACCTATCATTCTGGGACTGCCTTGGCTGGAGAAGCACAACCCCTCTATCTCATGGTCCGAAGGACAGATTATACAGTGGTCAGAGTCCTGCCGTCAGAATTGTCTCATCGCTACTCCGGTCAGAAAGGAGAGGGATTGCACGCCTGTATGTCAGCTCCCTGCAGAATACCACGATCTCACGGAGGCCTTCAGTAAGATAAAAGCTTCTCAACTACCTCCTCATAGAATGAGTGACTGTGCCATCGAACTCCAACCTGGTTCACATCCTCCCAAGGGGAGGGTTTTCCCCTTATCTCAACCTGACGCTGAGGCTATGAAGTCCTATATCGAGGAGGAACTTGCTAAGGGTTTCATCAGACCATCCACATCACCTGCCTCTGCTGGGTTCTTCTTTGTTAAGAAGAAGGATGGAGGCCTCCGTCCTTGCATTGATTACTGGGGACTCAACGACATAACCATAAAGTTTCGCTACCCCTTGCCCCTAGTCCCTGCAGCTCTGGAACAGCTCCGAAAGGCAAGATACTTCACCAAGCTGGATCTTCGCAGTGCTTACAACCTCATTTGCATCCGTGAGGGTGATGAATGGAAGACTGCGTTCTCTACAGCACTGGGCACTACGAGTATTTTGTTATGCCGTTCGGGCTTACCAACAGTCCTTCAGTGTTCCAGGCCTTCATCAATGATGTGTTCAGAGACATGTTAAATCGCTGGGTCATTGTTTACATTGACGACATCCTAATTTACTCAGATTCGTACGAGGATCATGTCAAGCATGTCCGGGCGGTCTTACAACGTCTCATCAACCACCAGCTATATGCCAAAGCCGAAAAGTGTGAGTTTCACCAGGAGATAGTATCATTCCTCGGGTACGTGATCAGTTCGGGAGAGGTAGCCATGGACGACAAGAAGGTACGAGTCGTTGTCAACTGGTCTCTACCTGCCACCTTAAAAGAAGTACAACGCTTTCTAGGATTTGCCAACTTCTATCGGAGATTCATTCGTAACTTCAGCACAGTGGCAGCTCCCATGACTTCTATGATTAAGAAGGGTAGTCAGCGCCTCGAATGGTCCTCAGCAGCCCGTTCAGCCTTCCAGACCCTCAAGGAGAGATTTACAACCGCACCCATCTTGCACCATCCCGACCCAGAACGAGAGTTCATTGTGGAGGTGGACGCATCCAGCACGGGCATTGGGGCAGTTCTCTCTCAACGACATGGTAACCCGCCTAAATTATATCCCTGCGCCTTTTATTCCCGCAAACTCAATCCCACCCAACAGAATTACGATGTGGGCAACCGAGAACTTCTTGCCGTGAAGGTTGCCTTTGTGTAGTGGCGTCACTGGCTCGAGGTGAGACAAACACCCCTTTACTGTACTCACCGATCACCGCAATCTGGAATATCTGAAATCAGCCAAAAGACTCAATCACAGACAGGCAAGATGGTCACTGTTCTTCACCAGATTCGACTTAACAATAACCTACCGCCCAGGCTCTCAAAACATTAAGGTGGATGCCATATCTCGACTCTACGCTGTCTCCCAGTCAGGAATCCATCATTCTGTCTACCATCATTCTCGCACCCATTCAATGGGACATCATGACTGAAATCACAGACGCTCAGGGCACCGAACCACCACCAGCCGAAACCCCACCTAATCTCACATATGTACCGCAAGCTCAATCAAGAACTCACTCGATTCCTCTGATCATACTGCCATCGTAATCAGACCGACTGCAGCCGCTACTTACTATGGGCCGAGTATGCTCAGAATTCACTCCGCAAACCTGCAACAGGTATCACCCCTTTCCAATGTGTCCTGGGTTTCCAAGAGATTCTGGACTCTCGTCGCCGGGGCAGAATGATCCAGTACTTAGTGGACTG